AGATAGATAGATAGATAGATAGACAGAGACAGATAGACAGATAGATAGATAGATAGATAGATAGAACTATACAGCAATAGATAGATAGAGCGATAGAACGATAGAACGATAGATATAGATAGACAGAATGACAGATAGAACAAGATAGAACGGTAGATAGATATATAGAACTATAGATAGAATGATAGAATGATAGAGCGATAGAACGACAGAGTGATAGATAGATAGACAGAGAACGATAGAACGATTATATAGATAGATAAATAGATAGAACAACAGATAGAACGATAGATAGATAGATAGAACTATAGATAGAACGATAGAATGATAGAGCGATAGAACGACAGAGTGATAGATAGATAGACAGAGAACGATAGAACGATTATATAGATAGATAAATAGATAGAACAACAGATAGAACGATAGATAGATAGATAGAACTATAGATAGAACGATAGAATGATAGAGCGATAGAACGACAGAGTGATAGATAGATAGACAGAGAACGATAGAACGATTATATAGATAGATAAATAGATAGAACAACAGATAGAACGATAGATAGATAGATAGAACTATAGATAGAACGATAGAATGATAGAGCGATAGAACGACAGAGTGATAGATAGATAGACAGAGAACGATAGAACGATTATATAGATAGATAAATAGATAGAACAACAGATAGAACGATAGATAGATAGATAGAACTATAGATAGAACGATAGAATGATAGAGCGATAGAACGACAGAGCGATTGATAGATAGATAGATAGATAGATAGATCAAGATAGAACGGTAGATAAATAGAACTATAGATAGAATGATAGATAGACAGACAGACAGACAGAGAACGATTATATAGATAGACAGATAGATAGATAGATAGATAGATAGAACTATAGATAGAACGATAGAATGATAGAGCGATAGAACGACAGAGCGATTGATAGATAGATAGATAGATAGATAGATCAAGATAGAACGGTAGATAAATAGAACTATAGATAGAATGATAGATAGACAGACAGACAGACAGAGAACGATTATATAGATAGATAGATAGATAGATAGATAGATAGATAGATAGATAGATAGATAGAATGGTAGATAGATAGAACTATAGAGCAACATATAGATAGAGCGATAGAATGATAGATAGATAGAACGATAGATAGATAGAACGATAGAACGATAGATAGATAGAACGATAGATAGATAGAACGATAGAACGATAGAACGATAGAACGATAGAACGATAGAACGATAGATAGATAGATAGATAGATAGATAGATAATAGCATAACAACGACTGCATTAAACACACTGGAATATAGCATCGGGTCTTGCTCAGTGTTTCAGTGCTTCTGTTCCAGTATTTACTGAGAGGAGAAATAAGTCACAGCAGGTGTGAGCGATTATTAAAGTCTCTCATCACTGTGAACACAAACAGCCCTTGAGGTGGATTTCCATTTCAAATATCTCACAGGCCGCTTAGTCTCACCTTTTGTTGAGCCAGTCAGTGCCACAGGGGCACGAGAGCATATTAAATGCAGAACTGTGCTACTGCGGCCTGACAGAAGCTGTCACTCCTCTCACCACAGACTGCCTTTCTGCCGCAGGCCACTAATCAGCAGGGCGAGAGGTCCCATTTCAATTACAAAGGCACATGAACTTGCTTTCACTGTGGAAGTCTCCAAAGGTCTGCAGACCGTCACTGATAGATGCAAGCTTGTGCTCGGCAAATTAGCATGTGACATTAGAACGATTTAATTCATGCATGATTAATTAATAGGAAAGGCTTGAGAAAGCATGGGGTTTAAACAAATTTCAACTTATAAAAATGTCTTGGTTCCAAAAACCTTTTGATTTGACTATGTATGCATTATTATAAGCACACATGATTATACTGCTATAGCCCTATGAAATCCATTTAATTATTTTTCGAATTCTGTTTTTTCCATTTCAGTCTTTCTGGACTACATTTTAATAGTTAAATAAAATTTTAGACCAAAAAGCATTTCTAATTAATTGAGAAACGTAATGAAACTTGTACAATTTTACATAATTTTATTAAAAGTTGACATTTTTAGGGCCCTATTTAATACATTTGTCTTCTCAAATTCCATTTTATTTTACCAAATAATGTGATTTCCCTTTTATTTTTTCTGCATTGTAATGGTTTAATTAAATTTTAGCCAACAAAAAGCATGTCTAACAAAACTGAATTCATAAAAACTTTAATTACTAAATGTTTTATTTGTGTATGTATGTACGTATGTATATATGTATGTATTTATTTATTTATTATTTTTTAATAATAATAAGGCCCTATGAAATGTTTTCAGAAATTCTGTTATGTAATTTTCTGGTAATCAAATGAATGTATAAAACATTAACAATTTAATTCATCTCTTAATCAAATGAAAATTAAACGCTTTAATTTTTTTGACTACGTGCTACTCAACAGGGGTTTACGGTTACAACTGGCAGAAGAATAAAAGAAAAGAAAAAGAGTAATTATTTCTTAAAAATAGTTTTAAATATTATTATTAATAGAGTAACACATATATATATATATATACACAGGTGCATCTCAATAAATTAGAATGTCATGGAAAAGTTCATTTATTTCAGTAATTCAACTCAAATTGTGAAACTCGTGTATTAAATAAATTCAATGCACACAGCCTGAAGTAGTTTAAGTCTTTGGTTCTTTTAATTGTGATGATTTTGGCTCACATTTAACAAAAACCCACCAATTCACTATCTCAACAAATTAGAATACTTCATAAGACCAATAAAAAAAAAATTTTTAGTGAATTGTTGGCCTTCTGGAAAGTATGTTCATTTACAGTACATGTACTCAATGCTTGGTAGGGCCTCCTTTTGCTTTAATTACTGCCTCAATTCAGCGTGGCATGGAGGTTGATGCACCTACACACACACACACACACACACACACACACACATATATATATATATATATATATATTTATATATATTATTATATTAACATTTATATATATTAAACCAAACTTTTATTCTGGTGGGTTGTTGTGATATATGACGATAGTATTTCTAAAATGAAACGGTAAAATGCGCATGAAGTGAAATCTCAAACCAGTTCTGGAGATGAAGTTCATGTGTTCTTGTCCTCATACAGTTTGACAGCAGACGCTGAAAACACATCTGTGTCATTCATTCACACAGACAAGCAGAACAGGCAGAACAAATACAAGTAGAATGTATTTCAGTTAAGATGCTGCCCATACAGGCAGTAGACAGCAGGCAGCTCACTGAATTTGAGAACAGAGCTGTTGTTTCAGACAGGAACAAGAAACAGAATGCATCACATAAGCTGAACTAGCTCCTATCCTGATATATTCTGGAAGTCGTACCTGTAGAAGAAGTCTCTCATCCCCAATGATGGAGGCCGTGCGCCAGTCAATGATCTCTGAGAAGGGAAGCTCCCAGCCATTACTGAGCATGACGGGAACACAAGCGGCCTGCACGCACACACACACACACACACACACACACACACACACACACAGAGAGACAGAGGCACGTTAGAACAGGCTGAAGAAAAATAAAACAAGCGTAATGAAAATTTTATTTAGCGTCTTCGAGTGGAAAGTCTGAAAGCAGGAGGAGCTCTGACTTCAGACTGAGAAATGAGGAATCATGGTTTATCAGATCAGTCATGTTTCTGTTCCATCTTGAGCTCAGGGAAATCTGGCAGCGACTGAGGGAAACACAAAGCGTGGCTCTGCCTGTCTGAACTCAGTCATAACAATGAAAAAGAGGATGTGAGATAATCATCAAGAATGGAGAAGGAGACCAATGCAAAAATTTAAAGGGGACTGAGACGATCACAAATTCGTGTAGTTTATGGAATTAATCTATGGAACTAATTTACTAAGATATAGCCCCCCTAAAAATGGCCTAGCGACGCCCATGTCAGCTGCCATTATTGGTCATTAGTGCAGAGCTGCTTTCATTATTCAGGATGGAGTTACAGTGAAAACAATCCCAAAAACTCCAAATAACTTTTTTTTTTTTTATATATAATTTGTTTGTTCATAAAGCATTATAGTAGCTTGATACCAAGTAGTGTTGTTATTGTTTAATAAAACTAAAACTATTTTTTTTAATTGGTAATTGAAATAAAGATCAAATAAAATATTTTTTTTTAATAAAAAATTAAATACAATACTAGCCAAAAAACTTAAACTAAACAAAAATTATTAGACGTGTTGCCTTGGCAATTAATTAATTAAAATTACTAACTGATATAAAATAACCGAATTAAAATATAAAACAAAAAAGTGAACAAATCCAAAATATTAAAAAATAAATAGTAAAAATTAAAGCTATTAAAAATTATAAAATAAAAATTATAAAATAACACTACTATGAAGATGACAATTATTATTATTTTTTAAGTGTGGACATAGTGATATAACTTTTTTTTGTAAGTATTACAGTATTTCCATTCTTTTTGAACATGCATCATGGTGATAATATGAAATAATAATTAAAAAAACATATGAAACAAAATCATAAAATTACTAAACATAAATTTAAAATGAAAACTAAAAATATAAGCTAATTAAAAATATTCATAAAAATTATTATATAATATGAATGATATACTAAAATAACACTGTTAGCAGTTCCAAAAAATTTTAATACAGTTTTTTAGTTATAATATGCTTTTGTTGCAAGTATGGGCATGCTACCATATACCAAGGTTTTTTTGAACATGGTACAACAGTATTTCAAAGTTTTTTTTGGACATGTACTATAGTATACAAAAGAGGTAATAATTCAGTATCATGGTTTGTATTAAAAGCATTATCAGTCATCTCTGCATCACAGTACCTCAACAGAACTTTATTGTAGATAAAATTCAATATTTTCCAAGCATAACTGTGTGTGTGTGTGTTTGCACAGGCTTGTTGTCCAGTCCCTAATCTGTTAAGCTGCTCCCACCCTCTGCCCTCCCCTCATCTCTAATATCATCCCGCTGTTATGGACTAATCCTTGCAGTGTCATTAACCAGCGCTTCAATCTGCTGAAATACATACAGACCAATACAGCCCCTGAGAGCTGAAGACAGACACAAGCGCACATATGCAGCATAAACCTCAGCAAGTCAATCCTCAACACCCACACAATTCAAAACACAATATATAATGGCCTGTTAAGCCTCATGTCTGCACAACATCAGACAACCTGAAAGAGCACAGCCGCACTCCCACACAATAGACGCCCGTCTGACATTACATCGGCATCACAGTACCACAGAATAGTGCTGGTTATGGATAAAGGTGGATTATTTATTTAGGAATGAAATACCACAAATGAGATCTCAATTTGCTTCTTATATGAAACAGTTATTGTAATTTGTATTACTACTGTTTTTTACTGTATTTTTGATCAAATAAATGCAGCTTTGGTGAGCAGAAGGGATTTCATTCAAGTGATATAAATGGCATGAATCATATTTGTGATAATAAAATAAAAGAACATATTTAAGATTTCAATGTTTTTAATATGTTTAATTTGGCCATTAGAGTTTTCTCTCTCTCTCTCTCTATATATAATATTATTATTATTATTATTATTAATATGGCTAAAGTAATTTTTTTATTTTATTTAATATGATACAATTTTTAATTATTTTAGTTTTTATAACATTTTCTAGGACTCCTTAATGAATAGATCAAAAGTAAAAAGAACTTTTGAACGGTAGCATCGGCAAAGATATTTTTTCCAGGTGCATTGCCCAGCTATACTACAATAATGTAAAGTGTGTGGGTATGTATATGGGCTGGAAACACAGAACCTGCATGCAACTGCTAAAGTGTCTTCCGTTGGCTAGCAGTACTGCCAATGGGAACGAACAGGAAAAATGTACCTGCAGAGCCTCCAAGAAACGGAAAGAGCCCAGGCGGCGTCCTCGAGGCACGAGACAAAAAGTGGAGTTATGCAGCATTTCTTTATAGTCGTACCTGTTGAGAAAAAGGAAAACAAGGAAGCACATATTAAGAACCAAGGTCAGAAAACATCCTGGCGCAGGAAAACAGGCGGTGCACATCCTATTTGCAAGTTAATGCTCATGACATCTGGCGCAGACTGTGAATCAAGCATGCCAACAGCCTGAAAACACTCATACATTCACTGTGGAAAAAAGCAACTACATAATTTCCAGTTTACAGGACCTTTTGAGTCACAAATATTACTACAAAACTACATAAAAACCCATGTTAGTGCAACAGAATTCCCCCAAATGTTGTCCCAACTAGTCAAACACAGTTGTCTGAACAAAGAATTTCAACTATAACTACCACAACTAGTAAAAATAACAAAATAACAAACTAGAACCCCATAGGAACACCTGGCAAATAACCAAAATATTCTAGAATTGCATAGTAACCAGCTAGTCATAGCAAACCCTATTAACCAGCCAACACTCAGCAACTAGTCAAAATACCAACGCAACCATCTAGAGTACCCTAGCAATGTCTATTAACCAGCTACAACATCCGAGCAACCAACTAGGATGCCATAGCAACACTGTCTATCTATATTAATTTAAATGTTTTAGTAATACAATAGAGTATACGGAGCAGAATACTGCATCCTTCGATGCAATGAAGAATGGCATGCACTATTATATTTGATTAAAAAAATATTTTTTAGCTAAAACAATGTGCATGAATGGATTGTGCATGATAAGATCAGGAAAGCACATCTTGAAAGTAAATACAGTCAATTTGGATTTTATGTTGACTATAAATTAATAGTCTGGGTTCAATGCAACTCTATACGTAGCAGCATCAGCTCCATGGCGATTTATATGTACTGCAATATACTTCATTTTAATTGCAACCACAATGGTTTGTCATACCAAATACCAGTTTGACTTATTATAAATATAATATAAAATCATTTTAATATGCTGATTTGATGCTCGTGAAACATTTCATGTTATTATCAGTGTTGAAAACAGTTTTTCCACAATTTTTGTGGAAACTGTGACACATATTTTTCAGGAAATCATAACATTATAAATGTCTAAAACGTAACTTGTTTTTACCACAAAATAAAAAAGGTAATTGTGACTTTTCAGAGTTAATATCTCACAAATTCGGACTTTGTTTCTCACAACTGAACTGCAAGTCAGGATTTCGAGATATAAACTAAGAACCGCAAGATATAAATGCAGAACTGCAATATATAAACTCTAAATTCTGACTTTACTTCTTACATTTCTGTTTTTTCTTTTGTTTAGTTTCCAACATAGAATAAAAAAAGGTAATTGCAACTTTTTATATCACAATTCTGACATTTCTTCTCAGAATTGCAAGTTTCCCGCAATCCCGCAATTCTGAGTTTATATCTTACAATTCTGAATTTTTATCCCACAATTCTGAATTTCTATTTCGCAATTATTAGTTTATATCCCGCGATGCTGAATTTATTTCCCGCAATTCTGAATTTATATCCCGCAATTCTGAGTTTATATCTTACAATTCTGAATTTTTATCCGGCGATTCTGAATTTCTATACCGCAATTATTAGTTTCTATCCCGCAATGCTGAATTTATTTCCCGCAAATCTGAATTTATATCCCGCAATTCTTACTTTCTATCCTGCAATGCTGAATTTATTTCCCGCAATTCTGAATTGATATCCCGCAATTCTGAGTTTATATCCCCCGCAATTCTGAGTTTATATCTTACAATTCTGAATTTTTATCCCGCAATTCTGAATTTCTATTTCGCAATTATTAGTTTCTATCCCGCGATGCTGAATTTATTTCCCGCAATTCTGAATTTCTATCCCGCAATTCTGAGTTTATATCTTACAATTCAGAATTTTTATCCGGCGATTCTGAATTTCTATACCGCAATTATTAGTTTCTATCCCACAATGCTGAATTTATTTCCCGCAAATCTGAATTTATATCCCGCAATTCTTACTTTCTATCCTGCAATGCTGAATTTATTTCCCGCAATTCTGAATTGATATCCCGCAATTCTGAGTTTATATCCCCCGCAATTCTGAGTTTATATCCCCCGCAATTCTGAATTTATATCCCACAATTCTGAGTTTATATCCCGCAATTCTGAGTTTATATCCCGCAATTCTGAACTTATATCCCGCAATTCTGAGTTTATATCCCGCAATTCTGAGTTTATATCCCGCAATTCTGAACTTATATCCCGCAATTCTAAGTTTAAATCCCGCAATTCTGAATTTATATCTCACAATTCTGAATTTATATCCCGCAATTCTGAATTTTTATCCCGCAATTCTGAGTTTATATCCGGCAATTCTGAGTTTATATCCGGCAATTCGGCATTTTTATCCCGCAATTCTGAGTTTAAATCCCGCAATAATAAATTTATATCTCACAATTCTGAATTTATATCCCGCAATTCTGAGTTTATAAAAAGCTTTACAGACATTTAACGTCATAATATGAATCACACACAAGTGTGCACAGACAGTCAGAAGCGAGCTCCCCGCTCACGCTCTTGACCTCTCGACCTCTGCTTTGTAGGTTGCTCTTGCACTATGGTGAGATAAAAGCTTCAGCAAATGCTTTAAGCAGTGTTTCAGTCGGCATTTGGATTAAGGGGTTGTTTGGAAATCCTAATGCAACATTCCTGCTTTTTCGCCCGTCTCACCCTCCCTTCTCCTCTCTTACAAATTCTCCACAACGTTCTCCGTTCCTTCTCCTCCCTCTCGCCAATGAGTAATCAGTGATGCTGTGCATTCCAATGTGAAGCCCCTGAGGTCTTCCTTCACCTCTGCTCTTCAGCACGGATGAATGAACAGGCCAGGATGCCTGCGGACAGTGAGACAGAATCTGCCTGGGCTTTGGCCCTGATGTTCTCCGGGTTTGAGTTGAACGGTAAAGCTCGAGGTTGAGAGACGGCAGGTGTTGTAGGATGCTGTAATAACCTCGGCTGACCTGTTGTCTCAGTGGGTAACCTGATATAGGGTGTCTGAAAATAGGACGGGATGATGCACTCGAAAGACTTCATAATTCGGCAGCACCACGGGGCTTATCGTACCTACATTGTGTGCAGACTAATATTCTTAATATGACTCTCAAGCAAATGTTTAAAATGATTTTTTTTGTGTATTTTCCATATGGTTATAGTGTCCTTAAAGGCTGAATGAAAGGCTGTCTGCAATTCATTAATGAGCAAATAAATCTTTGGTGAGACTTGATTTTATTCAACACAAATTGCCTGGATTTGGAAAAGTGAACACACGTATTAGAATGAAGTCGAAAAGGTGCTAATCAAATTATTGAGTTTGATAAAAGGATATAAGACCATCTTATTTTTACTAAAATCAGGTGAATGGATTGATTGTGTGTGATAAGATAAGGAATGCACATTTAGAAAGTAAATACAATTACAACTTAATTTTGTGTTGACTTTAAATGATTAGACTAAAAATAATAGGTAAAAATAATGTTAAAAAAAGGAATGTTAAAAATAAATAAAACATATAAAAATAAAAAATACATAATAAAATAAATAATACAAATACAAATAAAATTTTAATATTTGGCTTTACAACCATTTTACTTTGGTTCTTAAATAAAATAAAACAAAAAATAAAAAAATTATATAGAGCAAGACATAATTAAAATACACACTAATTTGAAAGTACTGGACACTGATTGAATACATGTTATGGCTTCAAAAATATTGAATAATAATTTATCTATCTCAGGAGTTGTTACTGTTAACAAACTGTTAAAAAAATTATTAACTGAATAAAGCTTAAATAAAATAAAATATAGATCAGATAAAAAGAATGCAAACTTAAAAACGAACAAAAATTGAATTGATAATGATATACATTATATAAAAATGATACAAAATAAATTCAAGTTTAACTAATTACTAAAATTATTAAAGCTGAAATGAAAGGAAAATAAAGGCAAACTTAAATAAAAAAATACATAAAAATGACAAAGAACATGAAATTACTAATCACTAACATTAATAAAACTTATACTAATTATATAAATAATATGAAAATTATATAAAACAAGTTTAAGTTGAATTACTAAAAATACTAAAACTTTAATAAAAGAAATAAAAAAATGACAAAAGAACATAAACTTACTATTCACTAACATTACTAAAACATTAACAAAAATAAAATAAATATATAAATTAAAAAAAGTAAGTTTAAATAAAAAAGTATATAAATAATAAGTCAAAAAGTTCTCAATTAGTGTATTTTTATGCCTTTAAGCACCTGTCGTTCAGGATTTGGTACTAGCAGCTTTGATTTGAAGCTTGTTTGTTATGTACTTTATACAATTGTGTACAGATAAGCAGGGCTGTGAACTATAAGCCACAAGTCTATTTCTTCAAGCTGGATGGCAGGCGAGACCACAGCACACACCACACGGCTCCTGTTATAATGAATAGCAATGAGTTCACACATGCAGGTCAGGAATAACTGCACTGCAGCCCTACGCCATTACTCAAACACAAGCAGCCAGTCGAGCGCAGTGCAACCTGTTCTCATAACACATTCGGGCCGGGGCGAGGAAGTTCCCCGCATACAGGAAGTGATGGAGTGGGCTGTGGGAAAGAACTTTCTGTTGGAATAAACACATCTATAATTCAGCTCCACGCTGATGATGACCACACGCAACTCCACAACATACTCGACACCCTTACAAAGAAAGCTGCTTTACTGGCATTGATGGTTCCATGAAGAACCTTTAACATCCATTGCACAAAAGGTTCTTTAGAGTGTAAAAAAGGTTCTTCACACTAAGAAAACATGGTTGTTTCAAGAACTGTTCTCTGAAAGGTTCTTCGGGGAATCAAAAATAGTACTTTTATGAGTGACAGGGAAACAAATGTACATAAATGGACTGTGTGTGATAAGATCAGGAATGTACAGTTAGAAAGTAAATAGTCAATTTGGATGTCATGTTGACTTTAAATAAATGTTCTGCTTTCAATGCAAGCTCTTTTAGAAGCATCTGTTGCATGTCCACAAAAAAATAATAAAATAAAAAATAATAATTTTCCATTTTTAAATTAACTTCAACCCTCTGTTTGTACATTTTTTTTACAAATAAAATAAAATAAAAAAATCTATTAATAAAAAATAAAAAATAAATATATTACATAATAAAAATAAATACAATGTGTATATATAATAATTTAATTTATAATATAATAAATGTAATCATATAAATAAAATAAAATAAAAAAATATATATATAAAATATTCTCTTGATTCTAATATAAAATAAAATACAATAAATAAAAAAATATTTGGCTATTAAAATAAAAACAATGCAAAAAATACAATTGGTTCTAAAATAAAATGTTATGGCTTCTAAAACAAAAATAGCTATCGCCAAATCTATCGCCATCTGTCACCAGTGGTGTTACAGTTAACTAAAACTATTAAAATGGTTTTCATTAATTGAAACAAAGCTGAAATAAAACAAATATAAATATCAGATGAAAAACAAAAACTGAAATAAAATAAGCTTACATTAAAGTACTAAAATTACTGAAATTAAAGCTCAATAGAAATTACAAAAAATTAAGAAAAATCACAAAAGAACAAAATTATTAAAATAACTTTTTGCAACCTTTACTTTGCATAGTGAAAACAATCAGTGACTGTTTCAAATGGTTGGCTGCTGTAAAGAAAGCGTGACGTTGGAGTTAAAGGTGTCTTTAATCTGCTGTCGTGGGTTGGCGGACGCCACTCACCTGAATCTACTCTATCAAGTTGACAAGCGTGCAAGAAATGCAAGATGCATAAGAAAAAACAGGGAACTAGAACGTAGGCAGCCAAACTGTCCAAGTTTTCTTTTTTATGTTTATATTTGGCATTGTTGCCATAGCAGCAGGATGGCATGGGTGGCATTTGTGCCTTAAATCAGATTAGTGGAAATGAGAGCTTGCACGGCAACTACTGGTTTCACCAACGCTGCCAACCTGCTTGTAATGACTGTGTAATCAGAACAAGATCAAACCTGTACTTAATGCCCGTCCCGACACACTTACATACACAGAACTACAGCACACACAACTTCATGAATGTGTCACAACTGTTTTAACATCTGCGGGATCAAGTGAAGAACAGCCTCTAAAGATACTGAAGCAGATCCAGAGGAAAGCAGTTGGTTCGAGTCTCTGGTGGATGATAGTAAATCCACGACAGCCATCTGGGAGGCAGCATGACAACATATGCGCTTATGATACAGATTTATGATGCTGCATTCTGTCCTATTAAAGGGATAGTTCACCCAAAAATGAAAATTACCCCATGATTTATTCACCCTCAAGCCATCATAGGTGTATATGACTTTTTTTCTTTAAGATGAAAACAATTGAAGTTATATATAAAAAAATGTCCTGGCTTTATAAGGGTAGTGAAACCGGGTTTGAGAGCCCAATAAAGTGCATCCATCCATCCATCCATCCATCATAAAAAGTTCTCTACACGGCTGCGGGGGGTTAATAAAGGCCTTCTGAAGCGAAAATATCCATATTTAAAACTTTATAAACTGTAATCTCTAGCTTCCACTGTTCCGCTAGCATATTCTCACAGGAGCTTACGCTACGCCTACGTCCTCGGCTGGAACGCCACTCTCTCATGAACGCACGTAAGACAGTTTTTTAAATTAATAAATAAACAACATGGTATGACTGTATTAGACAATGAGACTGTAGTACAGCATAAAGTGTAGAGACTGTAGTGCAGTATGGTATATGGCATTGTAATTAGGCTTGCCGCGACAGACGGTGCTGACGGTGATACCGCTGTTAAGCCGCAACACCGGTTACGCTACTTGCCCACCGCAGGACCGACCCCCACCGTCGATTTGATTTTTTTTGTAGTTATAAAAACCATTTAATTCAGTAAAAGAACAGACACTACAATTAAAAACTGAACGCGGCTGCTCAATGCAGCGTGCCGAACGACGATCAGATTTCATTTCTCCAGTGAGGAGAGAGAGTCGAGCTGACTGACAAGAAGAGTGAGGTGAGACAGATGAGACGATGGTGGATGATTTAGTTTCGAAACTAAATGCAAAAGCGCCTGTTTGGCAGCATTTTGGATTTTGAAAAGCCTGTTGACTTTTGCCGTCTATCTAAGGCGATTTTGTTTTTTTAAACATTCGTTTCTTATTTAATTGGTTCCACATTGTTTGCCGATTTTTACTTTATTTAAACTTTGTGTAATTTATTTATTTTATTTGACATCAAGGTGTATGCCGTGTCTCCAAGCTTTCTTACTCGTTTTGCTAATAAACGTTCTACGTTTCTTATTTATTTGGTTATATATTATACGTTTACTTATTTCCAGTTTTGTATAGGCTACCTATTTCAACTTTATATAAGTTATTTGTTATTTTATATTAGGCATAGTCTGCCCTTTAGCATGGTGTATTTTTATTTGGTTTGTTAATAAAAGTTATGTTTTATATATACGCTAAAGTGAGTTTGACGTTGTATTTTGTTGTTGCATTCAAGCAATTGACGCCGAACTGCCGCTAATTCGAAAGTGAAAGTAAAATGCGCACGGTGCTTTTAAGCTATTTAAAAGTGAAGGAAAGCGAGGAAAAGAGGGAAGGTTCAACAAACTAAAAACGAACAATTGCTTTACACCGAATTGCAGCTATTTGAAAGTGAAAGTAAAATGCGCACGCCACCTTTGCAAGCTATTTAAAAGCGAAGGAAAGCGAGAAAAAGAGGGAACGCCCCCGCCACCACGGTGATAACGGTATTACCGGTGTTGTCACACGTCGATTAACCGGTGGGAAAATGTCCTCACCGTCACAAACCTAACTGCAATCATTCAGTATAACGGTGTGTATAAACATTATACCGTTGAAAAGTTTGGAGTCAGTAAGATTTTTTTATAGAAATTAATACTTTTATTCAGCAAGGATGCAGTAAATTGATCAAAAGTGACAGTAAAGACATTAATAATATTACAAAGGATTATTGCAAATAAATGCTGTTAATTTTGAACT